AGAGGAGCGTTGAAGCTTTGCCAGAATAATAGGCGAAAGTCGCTTATAAAAGCGACGTTTACGTTGCAGCCTGCTTGTTGTTGATCGAAACAAAAAATCTCAAAATTTAATAAAAATCAAGCTGCCCCATTTTTTAGTAATCACCCTAATAATACGTGATCACCATGATTGCTCCTTGTTCTCTTTCTATTGGTTTTTACTCCACCAGAATAAAGAACAAACAATTTTGATTAAAACCGCTTTTTTTTCTTTTTCATGAATCGTTTGTCTGCTAACTTGATTGGAATAGGGGTAAAAATTTTTTTGATTTAAGTAATAAACAAACATAGACAAACATGGGCAATAGACAACCAAATACATAAACACGAATGCAGGCAGACGCTCTGCTTCTCATATGAGGCTCCCTATGTAATCACAGCAGAAAAAATCAAAATTTAACTAATAAATTTCCTTTCAGTTAAGAAGAATATGGGAAGTGTTTCTAATGTATAAATTTGCTGTTAATAACCACCCCTGCTAATAAACGTCTCCATAATACAGGGTGTCCCAAAAGTATGTAAGCACTGTTTGATCGTCAATATCTCTCTTCCCAAGAAGTCTTTCGCCTTGCTTTAATTACCATTTTGTAGAGCTGGCCTCAACTTAGATTTTTCTTATAGAACAAATAACACCCATCTCTCTTCATTACTGTAGGGTTACGGTAGAAACTATAAAGAGGGTTTTGAGCCATAAAAGCTATATTTTGCCTAAAGAAACAAAACAGCCTAAAACTTTTATACTAGGCTAATTAGAGCTGCTGATTTTAACTGTAAAGTTCCCAACTTATTATGATGCTTCATTGAAGAGTTATGCCAGGTGAGAGGTAGCGGCCTTTTTTTTCAATGTTCCTAAAAAGTGCGGTTACACCGTTTAGATAGCTTCGCAATTTTACGAATAGTTGAGTATTGAAATCAGCGTCCATAAAAAACCTATTACACAAGTTTTCACATTTTTTGAAAAATTTTGAAATGGCAGCTTTTTACACGTTGACACCATATGCTTTAAGTTCCTACCGTGGGTCCGTGATTCTCTTCATACTGTAACTCTAAGTTGAAGCCAGCTCTACAAGACGATACCTGAAGCAAGGCAAAAAACTTCTTGGGAAGAGAGATATTGACGATCAAACAGTGCATACATACTGTTGGGACACCCTGTATTCAGCAAAGGGACTGGGTTTGCATGTAACCCCTGAAAAATTTGCACCCCGCTTGGGTTCGCCGACCCAGCGCTCAGTGGGTTCCGGAACCCACGGAACTGGATAACTTGTTTTTTGAATGCCGGTATGCTCGCCTTTTGGGTACGCGAATCCTCTGGGTACGTTCGTGATTACTGGTTAAGTGGCTTTTCGCGAGTTATAGAACCCGCCGGGTATTCTTAACTCACTGGGTTTCGAAAACCTCTAGCTTCGTGAATACCGATCACGTGGGTTAAGCCTACTCAATGGGTTTTGGAACCCACTGGGTTCGTTGATGAATACGGCCACTGGTCCTCAATCGCAAAAATGCGAAAACAGAAGACCAGGTCGTGGTGCACACATCTGTATTTGAGGCTAAGTATTCTCGGGCTGATAGTCTGGAAGCGTAAGCTGGTAATGACTGAGTGTAAATAGGGTCGGAAAAGCATCGGTAGAAAACTATTCTTGAAGAAGTCTCCTGTGCTTTTTCTGTAACTTATGAATATTGCTTTTAAAAAAACTCCGTAAGGGCGGCGCATACTCAAAAATCGGTAAAACATAAGTTTTGTACAATTTCACTAAAAGACGAGGACATTAGCGTGTATACTTGGGTACTAATTAAACAGAAATTCGATCATTCAAATAAAACATTTGAATACATTCGCATTCGAAATTTGATATTCGAAGGTTTTCCATTTTCGATTAAAATTCGAAGTTCGAATAATCGAAAAACGAGGAGTTTAATGAAATTCGAAAACTCGAATAATCAAGAAACAGGGTTTGATTAGATTTTATTCGAATGCCTTATACTATGTTTATTCGAATTCGTATTCAAATGAGCTCCAATCAGATTATTCGAGTTTGTTGCAGAGCCAGCTTTTGAGTATCAAGCTCGCTTCGTCTGCGTTGTTTTTTCTCCGCAAAACTCGTAATGCATCTTCTTGAAAACGCGATAACTATTGAACTGTATGTGAAGTCACATTCCTCCGACTGCTTGCGAAGTAAAAAAAATATTTGTGGATTTTTATTGAAGCTTTTTCGATCATTGAGATAATTCGCATTGCTATCGGCACAAAATCAGCAAAAAAACAGCTATCAAATTCAAGCTCATGTCCCGAGTTCATATACTAAAACTATGTTGACATGCGTGTTTCTCTTTCTTTGCATTGCTCATGCTTTTGGTACGCAAAGATAGCACTAGTACGCACTCTTGCTTGTAAAACTCATGCTGCACAATTGCCTAAAATCTTTACTTCAGAGATTTTCGCGAATTGGTGTATTTTGAGTAAACTCGCAAGTGTAGTGGAGTATTAGACGGTTGTTTGATTTGCAGTTATATCTTGCTAAAGTTTCATTTATAGATAGTACATGATAGTTCTGTTATCACAGTTCACCCAAGATTTTCACGGAAGCTTGCAGGCATTCTAACACCGAGAGTTATCAGCCTATCAACTATGGTAAAGGCTGAAGCCGGACGAAGAAACTGCATATTGAGAAGTGCGGGCTTTGATTATGACAGCCCCGCACATACTTCATGCGACAGTCAAGCGTGATTTGCCAGTTACAAGATGCTAGCTACGGGGCTGGGACTTGACACAGGAGTAAAGAAGGGTGCTAATTATGAATAAACTTCTGCTATGATGCTTTTACCGATTTTCGAAAATTCTTGAGCTACGAACGTAGTAGTTGGTACCCCGTTCGACTCCCAATGTTCGAATATAACCAATATCAGTCGATATTTTATGATTTTCCGATTTTATTCGTGAGTCATTTATTTGGGAATTTTCAAATCTCGAACTTGATATTCGTTTATTCAAAATTTTCATTTTCGAATTTATTCGATATTCATGCATCCGATGAAAAATTAATTTCGAATTTACTCAAATATACTGTGTATGCATCTGACAAGGGAACGATCCAACTTAGGCCCGTATGCACGTACATCCCGCTGGGGGTGGGGAGGGGATCCGAGAGGGATGGTTCATATCTCGCTACTCTACGTACCTTTCTTCTTCTTTCTCTCCCTTGCTTACAAAGTTCTTAATACACTTATACCTGCGCAATGGATGCTATGTTATTTCCATACACGATTGCTTTTTTGCCATTTTGTGTAATTCCCAGGGGTTTCCCAGGGGATCCCTTGGTGATCACTTTCCATTTTCAAAGTGATTTATATTTCTGAAAAGTCAATGAACAGCTGTAAAATTGTACTGAGGATACACTACGGCACCGCTAAGCATATTTTTGGCAGAAGAAATGAAATTTGAAGATTGTGGATTTTTCGATGATCCCTGGCTCGCGAGCTAGGGATTACCGAAGATTTCGATATCCCGAGATTTCACTTATTTCTACTATAATCATCTTTAGCAGCGCCGTAGTATACCCACAGTACAATTTTACAGCGTTTCATTGGGGTTTCAAGGAGATAAATGGCATCGAAACTAAAAGGTGATCCTCTGTTGATCCCCTGGACATCCCCAGGGGATCACACAAAATAGTCAAAATCTAATCAATCACGCCAGTAACCTGGTATCCATTATGCGCAGATATAAGTGTATGAGAACCTTCATAAGTAAGATAGAAAAGGAAGAAGAAAGATACGTAGACTAGCGAGACATGACGCATCTTCTCTCAGACCCCCTTCCCTCCTCAGCGGAGATGTATGTGCATACGGGTTTTGAGATGGCAAACCGAAATGAACCACATATCTTGAATGCGTCTTGATGAGATGATTCCAAATCTATCTTCTCTTTCTGCGATGCCCTTCTCTTGAAGAAGTTATAACCGATTAAAAATGCGAAGCCATCGGGGTTTCAATGCATAATGTGCTTTGAAATCCAACTTTAGAGTACATGACCTGCATGATATTGAGTGTACCAATTTTTAAGAATGCTCACATTCAACGAAATCACAGATAAGTATTTTTGAAAGCTAAAAAAAAACTAAACTTCTTTGATAAAAGCTAAGATCAATGAAAAGTTCAAATTTATCATATACACAGCGCTATATCTCAAGAATTAGTTGATCACAAGCACTTTTTGTTTCCGTTGTTTGCGAATAGTATTTAAGGTCAGCACAACAATATCATGCTACTGATGCAGTCAATCGCAAATTGGATTTCAGAGCACTTTATGCATTGAATCCCAAATGACTTGACATATTTTACGCTCCTAACTTTTTCAGAAAACGGCATTGCAAATGTCGAAGAGATTTGGAATCAGCTTATCAAGACGCATCGAATGATATGCGGATCATTATAGTTCGCCATCTTAAGTTGGAATCGTTTCCTTGTGAAAACTGGAAAGAGGATAGATATGTAATGGTTTCTTGGTTACGGAATCAAAGAAAAAAAAAAGAAAAAAAGAAAACGAAGAAGAAAACCTGAGCTAACTGTCAATGAAAACTCCTAAATAATCTTTAGTGCCACTGCAATATTCCAACACAATGTCATCGCACATATAAGTCTGAGTAGGAGAATTACAAGGTGCATCACTTTGATTTTAAGTGCGTTAACGGTCGTAAATCATTTTTCTATAGAAGAAGTGACGACACATGACACATGACATTGAAATCTATGCTTCACCTTGCTGTGTTGTTGTCATCCTTATAACATAAGTAAAATTTGATAATGTTTTAGTAAAACAGATTGAGCAGCTGGAATGAACTAGAATTGTAAGAAAATCATGCAGGAATACTTTGCTCAGAGCTTTACAAATGCCTACCGAACTTCGAACTTCTCCGTGAAACCTTCAAAGTCGGGACGGGTAGAATATGCAGCACCTCAACGATGAACAAGGTGATCGCAGCCTACGACTACTCGGAATACTCGGTTGTGACCACTGACGCGCTTGGCTGGTACGGGTACGTCTCATATCATGTGAGTTGAAACATTCAAGTGAGCAAAAGTTTAGAAGGGTTATGTATTGCCGCTATATCGACGAAAACAATCAAGAAATTGGAGAGAGCGTACGCTCTATCGTATTCCCTGAATCGGTAGTGCATTGTTGCAGCCGGAATGGAACAGCGTACATGACAGTCACAAAGGATGCAGATGGTGCAATTGACCAGCCTGTTCAGTTGATCGATAGGAAACATGATAGTATGTCCAATTTGGGGCGGTATTTATCAGTGTCCCGCTCGTCGGGCGCGTTCCATCGTATACACGGCCCGGACAGGCGCGAGCGTCCAAACTGTGCTTCTGTGAGGTCGGTTAGCATGGCCTGAACGGGCATCAGGCCCGTTCTGTTGAGATCGGGCCTGCCGTGCCCTAAGTGGCCAAACTTGCCAGATCGGATCCCTAAACCCATGCAGTCTCAGGTGAGGTCTAAAGAGTACGACTATGATGGAAATTACTGGTAATTTTTGTGGTTCAATCCAGCCTTACATTTTATACCATTTGATATGTGCTGTTCACACTAAGCCTAAGACAAGACTACTTGATAACTTCCTCATTTCTAACTTATCCCACTGCTATAAATTGCCCTACAATACAAGTATTCAACGAATCATTGATATTCAAAAGAAGTCGTTTGCAGCATTCCCAAGGAAAGTTGACCCTAATCCCTCCATTTGAGTCTACTATGCTGAAGTAATCTTTAAAATATGCATATGAATGCAAAAACTGCGCTCGAGGACGGAAAGGAAAGAAAAACAATAGAAAACAATTAGTTCTCATATGTTTGCGATATGCAAAATTCGCGCCAGGAGGCGTTTTTAATATGCGCCCGCTCGCGCTGCTGGCGTGCTGCTCTACACAGTAAGTTCCCGAACAGGCATGACAGGGTGTACGGGAGATTGATAAATACCGCCCTTATTAACCATTTTTAAGTGAGTTCAATTTTTAGCGCCCAAGTACTACTTGTCGCTTTGTTTGGCTCCTATCTATGGAAGTCAAAGAAAATATCTTGTGCTTGTCGAGTTATTTGAGCATTTGAAACTGCAAGGTGTCGAACATTTCTATCTATATATCAAAGAAATAGACAAATACTCTCAAACGGTAACTGTAGGTAGTGTGCAATTTTGAATTAGCATACTTTGCCTTTTAGCTTATCGACGACTACATAAGGGAGGGAGAAGCCGAAGTTATAAGTTTGCCTACTGAACATAAAATCATTTACTGCCCGCAAATAGTAGCTGCAGCGGTATGAACTATCCCTTTGGAGCTTAAATGGAAGCACGTTTTGTATACAGTGAAGGAACCTAAATTATCAGATTTCAAGAAGTCAGGGTTTTAGGACTGCCTGCACAGAAGTCGTCACCACTCTCGTTATGTTTTGTTTTCTGATCTAGACGAAAGATTCTTCTCTCCCAAAGGCTACACTTTGAAATCTTTTGTTAGGTCACTATTTCTCTTCATTCGCAGTAAGCACAAAAGTATCTTACATGTACAGGAAGTTTTACTTAGGGAAAAATTGCAAAATGCACCAGGCAGAGGAGCCATACGGTTCACATCAAGATGGGTTCTTCGAACACCTCCTCCCCAATCAGATTATCAGGTAAAAAACGTTTGTCAAAGTAGGGCGATTTGGATTCTGAAGTTGGTACTTCGTAAGGGAGAGGAGACGCTGAAACAGCATTTGCCCATGCTTGTTTTCCATAATAGTTCTGCAATTCCTAACAGGAGGATTGTGCAGAAGTTAGTCCTGGATCCCAGGCGAGTAAGTGACAAAGCACGTTTCTTTAGATAAGACAAAACAACAGCCCTCACTTTAGGTGCTGATCATTTTCGTACACCACGTGCGAGCGTATTACCCTGGTTACAAGGGATACCAAGTTCCCTTCGGACAAATGCACATTCGGTGAGAACGGGGAGCTTGATTTCGAGCCGCGTTTTCTCTGCTAATGGGTTGAATTATAGTTGATGTGAGCTTGTTGTTCTCGCGTTAGCGATTAGATAAATAGAGTACTTAAGTGCAGAAAATGTACTGTTTGATAGAGCATGTCAAGCTCTTCGAGGTGGCACTTGAGCGCTTGCAAAAGGTTTGACCCACGTCAAGGTACAGCAAAATCTAGAAAATTTGAAGTACCCAAGAAGATCCCCGTTCAAAACGCTTCTTAACTTTCTCACGCATGCAATATCCTCATCAAACATTTGTATGCGTCGACAGTAATTGAAAAATTACTACAGTCTGTCGATTTTTAGGAATTAAAAAACGAAAAAAAATGCAAGTATTCAATGTTGTGCTGTACACTGGTTCTTTTCTACAAACATTCATAAGTATTACAATAGATTCTCAATTTTCTACCAAAGTTAGCTTTGCAAAAATGTTAACTGCAAAACTTTAGAATAGAAACCAAAACAGGCTTCAGTTAAACCTTTCTTTTTTTCACGATTTCTAGCGACAGGAATAACTTAGTAACTGCATATTACTTGAATTTTCAGAAATGTAGCTCCATACTGCACTCAAACTAATTTTTTGTGAAAATTTGATGCCTTTTGTAGTTGCTTTGAGCTATATTAGTATTCAGAAGCATTTACAAGGAAAATTTTTACATTCACAGGCACTACCGTGACACTTCTACATGGGGCAAACAGTGGTTTGATCGGATAGCTGGATTCGGCCCATATGAGATCACGCGGTATCCTGAAGAACATATGAAGGAGTTGTTTGAAAACATAAAAAATAGGCTAGATGGAATCTATGGTCATAGAAGTATGCTTACACTTTAGTCAACATGCAGTCGATTTTGTTTTTATAATTGAACATAGCAAAATGGCTATACCTTTTCAAGAGCGAGACTCTCCAAGCTCGATATTTTACATAAAAACCACGAAGAGAAAAGAACAGGAAGCATATTCGAGATCACAACAGTAATGGAACGACCAAAAGCTGTTCTCGCAAAAGAACTCAGACAAAAGCACGTAGTATTGTTGGCTTTGAACAGCATTATTCCAATGTTTTTAACCAAAAATTCACAAATGGTAGAATCCTCAAGTTACTGCTCAATTTTTAGCATGCAATGCGTGTAAAATGTAGTTCTCGTAGTTCTCCTTCAACGCTTCGTGTTTTAAGTCCTCATGAATAGCTTTACTTTGACAGAGCTAACTTTTTCGTGTAGTCACCATGGTAAAAACCAACGGTGTGTGCTTGAGTGATTTTTTGTAAACACGATGTTCACCCTTTGACAATGTTAACTAGTCTCTCAACCAGTCGATATGATGAGAAAGAGTCTACAAATCTTGAAATTGCTAATTAGCAATTTTTACTTATCTTGGCTTCTTTTTTTCAAACCAGACACAAAATTATTGTTATGGTTTGTTGTGGTTTTTTGTTAAATAAAACTTTTGTAATTTTTAACTTGATTACTATCTTGAAACATAACGCAGTTTCTGTCTGCTTTCAGTAAGTTTAGCGGTGTGACGACATTGTGACATAAAACAAGTTGTTGTAAAGGCAAGACAGTAGTACAAGCATGTGGAGAGTACGTGACTTCAATGCACGCGATTCTCCCAAGGCAATTCTTTCAGGGAAAATTTCTAGTTGCTAGTTGAAAACTTCTAATCCAGTAGATGGCTGTACATGTGTATTTTTGTCCGTGAATCTTATTTATGTAGTGTGGTGCTCAAAGTGCCATAATCAAGGTGCATATACAGTCAGATCACATGTTAATAAATTGCTGTTTTCAAATCCAATCAAAATCAATTTTTGTTATTTTTCTGTTATGCAGTTCACAAGCTGCTCGTCTCATTGCTATTTCAGTAATAAGGAAGGAAAGGTTGCATAAATAAAGGAAAATAGTGAATTCAAAAAAACTTATTTTTGCTGAGGCCAAAGGGATTGGCACGCGAAGGAAAATTGCTCCAGAAGGTAGAAGCGGCGCTGCGCCGCCCATTGATGTTGGGGGTCCAGAGATCCAAGTTTGAAATTGCGCTCAAACGTGGGAAGTGGAAAATCCGCTCACTATCAGTCTTTCGACAATTTTGGACACATTTGGGCACACCTATTGGTCTGCAATGCTCAAACCACTCAGAATAAAGACAGAGGAAAGATGCAAGCCGATGTAGAATTTCTTCTTCTTTCTAACGGTTATGTTTTTGTTCAGATTTCCTTGATGTCTGCTCAATTATCGGCAGGAATCTCCAGCCCATGACTTTCACTCATATTAAGTTTGACTATTTTTTAGAAATTCCATTCTCAACTTTTGGACTAGCTTTGATAACGATTAAATAGCCTAAACAAAATGCAGTACAATACAATTTTTTGGCATCTTTGGCTGGCTTCTCAAAATTTTCAAAAATATTTTTCTGATACTATCAAATTCCATATTTGGGCATTCCAGTTCTCACAGGACAATAATCGACGAGCGACAAGGGTGTCATTGGATGCAGCTTTTCCTCCTCGTTCTGACAGACTTTTTTTCTTCCTGATTTATGTAATATATGAGGATAAAGTCATTATAGTTCTTGTTTCCAGACTCGTCCCGGGCTGTACCCAGAAAATTAGAAATCCATCATTCTGACCCGCTAAATGCTCAGTTGCTTACTAAAATTAGCATTAAGTAATAAGCTGTTTTTGAAAGCCTATTCCGAAGATTTGTGAGTGTTTGAAGCCATCATGTGATTCACGACTTCGCAGAAGTAAGGGCTTTTGGAAAAATTATCTTGAAAAATACTGAAGAGTTAGCTGATAAACCCAAAATAATTCATTTTGCATTCTGTTTATTCTATCCAATTGTAGTCAAAGTTAGTCCAAAAGCTGAAAACCGAAATTTTAAAAAAATAGTCAAACTCAAGATGGTTAAAAATCATGGGTTGGAGATCCCTGCCGATTATTGAGCGGACATCAAGGGAATCTGAACAGGATCACAGCCGTTAGAAAGAGGAAGAAATTCTGCAGCGGATAGTTGTTACATCTTTTCTCTATCTTTATTCTAAGTAGTTTGAGCATGCGCCTGAAAACGGCAAGAACTTTCGTACAGACCTAATATTATAATATTTTGATTTGTAAGTGAAAACATTTATTTACTTGCACATCTTCCCATTTGCACATACTCCTCTTCCTCTCTCCCTCCACCCCCCCCCCCCCCTCTCTGCGCTTCTCTCCACCACTGGCCAAAGCATTCAAAACACATAATTCAACTTCTTTGGATATTCCTTTGCTACCCCTCAAAAAACCTTTTTAAAAATTTCTGCTGTTTTGCAGCTGATGATTGCTATCAATAGTTCTAGATATTGAAAATCAATTTAATTGACTTTGTTTTCCTTTTGAGTATCTATTTGGGATTTGTACATATCATTCAAATTATTTATTGTTGAGCACTAATTACGGATCTGTAAATCTATAATAAGCCCCTCGTATTGGGTTCTGGATTATTTTTGATATAAAGGAATCTTCGGACCTCACAGCACAGTTTCTCTTTCTGCGATTTGAAAACAGCTTTTTTCCTTTACTGATTATGTGCTTTTGTTGAATAATACGATGATATATTAGGTTGTCCTAAAAGTATTTCCAGATAAATCAGATTGTTTTTATTTTTCCGTCACATTTAGGTTACCATCCGATAGAGCAAAGTAAGCTTTACAGAATGACCGCCGAAAGTCCGCCCAGTCATAATCCAGGTAAAGTTTGGAGCGAAAGTCGAAAACAATTTGAGAGCTGAAAAAAATCTTACGGGCCTCAAACTTGGTCATTATATAGCAGACACAGAGGAGTAGTATGCCTTTACTGAATTTTTTCCAAGCAGAGAAAGCAAGAAATGAAAGATAGTTCAAATGGCAGACTCCGCCCCCAGCCCCTTTCACATATGTAAATGTATACTAGAAATCTTACTTAGTTAATCTCAAAACTTTACTCCTGTATGGGCTCTTATAATCGAGAAATTCCAAGTTTTACATGAAAAACTCGAAAATAGTGGCATTATGGCATTTACAGACCATCTTTGTTGCTGAATTGTGAGCCCGGAAAAAATCCGCCAAATACATTTTTGGTCACTACTATGTGTCTACTGTATAATGACCAAGTAGGACCTCCGTAGAATTTTCTGGAAGGAGGCCCGATTTTCAACTTGAAAATCTCTGATTTTGGATTCAAAATTTACTTCAAGCACGACTCAGACAGATCTCTGTGGTCATTATGTAGAGCTTGCTACGCTATATCAAATGATTCTCTAAGTCTGCCAGAAAAACAGAAGTAGCTTGATTTATTTAAAAATACGGTTTAATTCTGGGATAATCTAATAGCTAGAATGGAGCATGTTCAGTGTAGTCAGTGGCATATCTTATAATTTTGATTGTCAGCGACATATTTTGAAACTACCTGAGCCTATTAATCGGTGTAGAGACCAGAAACAGCGATTTCGCAATTCGGACTTCAAAGTTCAATGTTCAAAGACAATGCATGCAAAGCCACGAGCGTCGTATGCATTTTGATTCGTGAAATTCAAACACAGCAACAAATGATAGTTTCAATCTCTAATTTTGGTTTTTTCACCCTTGTTGTTTAAAATTACATATATTCATCCTTTCTTTCATGAGATCACCTCCTGAATGAAACCCGGGATTTCGTTTTAATTCAGAAGTTCATTGCACAATATTTGCTAGACCAAGCTTTAGAATCTTTAAAACAACTGGAGCAGTCACATAACAGCGATCTTTTTTTGAAAAATATCATTGGCATAGCGATGTATTTTCGAAAGAGATCCGTGGGGTAAATTAAATGAGTAACTACAAACTACTTTAATTTTCTTCGTGTACTGGTCTTGAAGCTTCTTTTAACTGGCTACCAACGCTAAAGTTTATATCATCCACTTTAACTTAAATATTGTTTATTGTAAAAATTGAAAACATTCACAGTTTCGATCCATATTGCAGGACAATGCACAAACATCGTAATTGCAAAGTTTTCAAGTCTGGATAGAGCAAGTCCAAGAATGCTTTTGATGTGATGCTTCTTCAGTCAAAATCAAATTTGTATACAAGCCTGTCTCAATATTAGGACATTATTTCAAATATTATAAGTACCAATCTTCTCGGATTTTACTTCAGCAGTATGAGAGTGTTCATTCCAGCTTTGTTCCTTATCCATCCCTTACTCAATCTCTAAAGTGATCATAATCATCAAATAATCACTTGTTTTGCGCTGACACTTGCAGTTTCATTGTGAGTAAATTACCTTTTTGGGCAGACACAAAAACTCCCAGTTAGCTCCGTAATCATATAATATTGTCGCAGAAGCTTTTGCACTTTTTTCGCTGGTAACATACCTTTTACCTAACAATGCTGCAAATGCGCTACTTGATTGCTACTGCTAAAACTAGCCGGAATCACTGTCTTTGCTCCTGTGGCAATCCAAAATTCTCCTTCTCCGTAATGCAATACAATTTTGATGTCAGTTAGTAAGCAAAACTATTCATGTTGAGTATCTCTTGAGCGATAGGAGTCGTGACACATAGTAAAAGGCTCCCAAAAAAGAACCACAAATGAATGGAAACTCATTGTCAGTACCAAAATAACATTATAGCCGAACATGGTACACGGCCACCACTCAAAAGCAAAAGGGGCGGGGTTGTACAACAATCCGAAGAGAGCGGAACCTTTCAGTTAGTGGAGGCTTGCAAAAAGGAAAAATCTTCAGTTTCGCCCTGAAATTGGCTGAAAGAGTGTTCTGCTAGAAAATCCTTTTTTCTTATGTCTGAATTGCGTCATTTCCACAGATGGCTAACAGTGTCTTC